GTAATGTTAGGAAATTACAAGAAAGTGCCTAATAAAATGTCATGTTCTCCTCAGGGTAGTTATGCCCTCATTTATAAAGTCAAAATTCCTTACATAACTACTTGTACATCCTCCTTTCTTTATAGAAATGATACTCAGGAGCCATTTCCCTATTTTCCCCTCCATTTTTTTTAATCCCTCTAGTCAAAGGTGTGCTCACCCACACCTTTAATAGACTATTAGCATTTAAAAGAGCTCTTTAAATTATGGTTTTGCAGTTGTCATCAGTGTTTGGCCTTGGATTTGTTTAGCTTGCCTGACAGGTAACAGTGCAGTTTTAATGATAAGTGTGAAAAGTGTGACTTTGGTCTTAGTTTAACTATCAGAGACTGCATAATTCAGAAGGTTACATGGCGTACTGCCACTTCCTTAATTGCATGTCCCGTTACAGCATTGGCAAAAGGATGCACTCATTAAACTTTTCTTGTTCTCAATATCTGTTAATTTTTCTCCTGCACCTGATTGCTAGTATGGACTGGTCAGGTACATATTATCTTTTCCCCTAAGACCCGTAAGCCTTGATTTCAAGGAAAAATATACCAAGTGACGGCAAGGAATTATGTCACTAATTGAGCTGAACTGCTGCAGAGAACAAACTGCAGTCATAAGGGTTTGGTTGCTGCTGATGTTTTGTTTGTGACCTATATAAAGAATTTCAGAAATCTTTCCTAAAACTCTTCTAAATATGAAGAGTTACCTTAAAATTGACCATTTTCATTATATAAAAGACAGTAATAGTTGATAACAGACTGACTAGCTTTCTTCAAACTCTTTGTAATGTGAGCTTTACATGTTTGCAAATTGGTTATTGAATAAGTAGTGACTGCAGTATAGCATGTTATTAAAAATGTATAAAAATCGCAAGATTTTAACAAAGTTTAAAAAAAAGATTTGCAGCTGGTTTTGCAGCTGAACTTGTTTTGAGCTGTTTTGGTACATCTGCTTATCATTCTGCCCTGTACTCTGTGAAATTTGAGACTGCTGTAGAGTAGCTGAGATTTTTGTGACTTTTTTTAGCAGAACCAGACTATTATGGTAAGATACCAAAAGTGATTAATACCACAACTCATGTCACTACAAGAGCTTCTGCACATAAGTAGTGTCTTGAAAAATAATGTTTCATATTCATACAATTTAGGGAGAAAGTAAAAGTTTAAAACAGAACATCAGGTTTTGATATTACAAAAAGTGCCTAAGTGTAAAGAACATTTGTATTTTTAAAGCAAAGCTTTTGTATTTTGTGTGTGGTTATTATCTGTAGTAGTTCTTAGGAACTGTTGAAGTTTTCTCTTTTTGTTAAATATTTGGAAGCTATCAGCTGCTAATGCCAAGTGTATGCCCATCTAGTCTCCTAAACTAGCAGGCAGAGTATTACTTTGCAGTTGGATTTAGTTTTGAATCAATTTCTAGAAGGTGAATTATTCATTCTGGTTGAAATTTGGGAAAGTGCTTTGTGTTCTTTAAGCCCTTTGGTTTGAATTAAATTCATATTGAGTACATTTCTTATTGCTCTGATAGTTTAAACAGAATTTACAAAATATTGCAGTGAATAGCAAAGGCTAAGGTGATAACTATAGTTATTGTCAGCATATCACACATCTGTGGACTTCATTGATGGCCAATGTTTTTATATTACTGTTTTGTTCATTTACCTACTGGTTGCTCCATAGAAGACTTTATTTTCTGAATGAAGAAAAGAAATTCATTCAAACACTTTCTCAAAGTGAGCTCTTAGTTTCACAAAACCTTTCTGTCATATTATTTTATTAGAGTCTAAAGTCAAATAAGAATTATAGAATGGAAACTTGTTTTCTTTTTCTCAGTGGGAAAAATAATTCCACTCTGTGGAACAGAGAAATTTCACTCTGTGGAACAGAGAAATTTTCAGTAACTGAAGCAGCAAATCAAGATTTTTACTTAAATAAATATAATGTACTAGAGGGAATCTGCAATATTTGAGACAATCAGAAATGTTTAGATGAACTAGATGATAAATAGAAAAAAAAAGAATTTTGGGATCTGAGAAGTTAATAAGGTGTCCACAGTTTACCTGCTTACTGGCTGTTAGTTAAATGTTGATGTGTATGCTACCCAAGCAGTAGGTTAGTACCTGAATTACTTTGATTTTTGGTCATATCTGGAGACAATGTGGGCAGAAGGAAGTAGGTATTTGAAAACAAAACAAGAAGTTTTATAATAGCATACCTGTGGAGAATAAAGGTAGAAGGAAGGAAGACCTGCAAGAGGAGGTACTTGCTAAATTACACAGTGGGAGGGCAACAGATAGTTTCACTGTTAAAAGCTTAAAGGAGTAATTACAGTGCTAAAAATTGGTTGTCCTTGTTTGTGAACTTTAACATAATTTTCTAGTGCTTATGAGAATGAAAGCCCTCTTCAAAAGTTGACTTTAGACTCTGGTTTTGAACTTGTTGCATATTTTCTGCTATACATAAAAGGGATTCACATGACTGTTTTATGGTAGTTTATATGCTAACATAAATTACATTGACTTTAGTCTAACATTTGGAAAGGCTGAACTGGGTGCAGTGCTTGTATTTTCTTTCAATTACTTTAACCTGTTGTTTTATGCACAGTTTGACAAATTGCTGTTACTCAGACTTCATGCTTGTAGTGACAAGGGGTCCTTGTTGAACTAGGTTTTAATGTTAAAAAGCAATGACATTAGTAACTTTATCAATGTTAGCATATTAAGTTAAAATTCACTTGAGGATTCAAAAATAATTTTCTGTGCTGTCACGTAAAGCTGTATTCAGGTACAAACCTAGTATGTCTCTCACTAGAGAACAAAATTTGCAATGAATAAAATATATCACTATGAGAGCTGCCTAAGTTTGTTGGAAATAAATGCTTGGGGCTTTCTGCTTTATTTCTTTAGTTTTCAATTAGTAATGAATTTTACTGTTTAAGTACAAGCCAGTTTGAGAAACATTGATCCAAGTTACCTGTGTATCCCAGTCTTTTTTATGGTTTTGCCCAAAATGGTGTCATTTATCTGGCCACTACTCTACTGGTTTCTCTAAATTTTCATGCTATCTGATACCCTGTAGAGCTTCATCAATTCCCTTAGTCTTTCAACATATGTTACTTCTGACATTTTGCAAAAAGTGAGATCTATTAAGATTTGCCCTGTAAAACTTTTTTTTTTAAATTTGGCTTACTTCCTTGAGCCTTAAGGGGTTGTTTCACACAGCACATCTTGGAAGAAGTATTTTTTTTCCAGGATATAAGTATCAACATAAATAAGCTATAGGTAGTGAAGCCTCCCTACCTATCTTAGGTAGAAGATAATTTGCTCTTTGAAGTCACTTTTCATTTTTGGTCAATCTGTGACTTTCCCCCTCATGTGGCTCTATTTGATCTGGTTAATCTTTTTCAATTACTCCTAGTGTTCTGTCTTCCATATCCAGGATAATTCACCAGTTTTCCTGTGAACAGTCAAAACTATGTAGTGCTTTCCCTTTAAGCAGATGACATGCCATTTTATTTTACTTTTCTTTAAATGATCATGGCTGGGCTTCATGAACGAAGATTTGGGATTTCAGCAGGGTCAGCTTGGAGAGTCTTTAAATCAACAATCATGTTAAATACTGTGAAAAAATTAAAGTGTGAAAATAAATAGTTAAATCTAAAGAACAATTAGTTTCCCTATTTATTTATTGTTCGCAGGGAAAAAAGAGCCAAATGCAGATCTAATTCTGTGTTGTAACCGATACAGGCTTTGTCTAAAATGGCCCATGGACCGATTTTACTGGTCGTACCGGTTTCTTATTTTAGATAAGATGTTTGGAAGAAAGCTTCCAAAAGCACGTTCTTGTCTGTTCAGTTTCCTTTTTTCATGTGTTTCGTGCATTTCAGCTTGGATTATATAGCCAAAGACATTTGGGTTATATTTCACCCTTTAGGTCTACTCATGATTCCTGTGTGACATCATTGTAGCTGAAGTGACTTTATTCTCCTGCTGTTGTGCTTCTTCCTAGGCTATGGCTACTAATGGGCTTTGTCCTCTTTGTTTTGCTGAACAGAAGATCTTGTTGCAGTAAATTCGTGGATTTACAGTTACGTTGCTATTTGTGGGCTTAATCTCCGCTTTCCTGCTTTGATGATGTGACTGGACTTCACAAGTATTTTAATGCCGTGATGGATAAACTGAGGATGTAATCTCCAGTCCTTAGGCAAGGGGGATATTTATGGCCCATGTTTGCACTAAGTGTTTATCTGCACAAGGGACACTGCAGGAAACAAAAGTTGTGGACCAAAGGCGTGGCTCTCAGAACCATAGTCCTCTGTGGATAAATTGCTTCAAAAATGGTGACCCAAAATGAGATTTAACAAAATGCTTGGGTCAAGTCTGAAATACATAGCAGTTTTTAGCACCACATCATGTGGTTTCCATCTCTTAAGATTTCCTGGTTTCCTGGAACTGCTGGCAGGCTGTGCCTTGCCAGAGTGGGGGGGCACTGGGGCTGTTCCCTCCGGACTGTCGACTTCTCCCTCTTGGCTGGGCCACTGGAATGTGTGTGCATGTGCGTGATGGATGTAATTTGGCTCTGTAGAGAGAGAGAGAACAGTGGAACAGTGTAAGTGTTGCTGTTGATTTAAAAAAAAAATTTCAGATTTTGGCTAAAAGATAAAAAAGTTACAGGTAATGCAATAGTGCTGTTAACAAATAATTATGCTTTATTCTGAAAGTTACACCTGACTAAGATAAAACTCTTTTGAACTCTCCTAGTTAAATCAGTAGATTAAAAATTAGTACAAAACAAAAAGCAGCAGTTACATACTAAGATAGTTCTTGGTTTTCTAGAAAAAAAATCATTGAGATTTCCTTTCCAACAATACTTCTGAAGCACAGATAAAATGGCTTCCTGTCCCATGGTTTCCTGTATCCATGACAACCTGACTTTAAGCACTTCTTTCTTAGTTTCCTGAGCAAACTGTTGCAAGTCCTGGGTCAAAATGTGAGTGATACAGTATGCAGCAATACTGCCTTTACGAAGGTTTCACAGATGAGTATAGTCAATCAACTTATACTACAATGAACTGCAAACGGCAAAATAATGGAAGTAATGAATTTCAGATTTGGGGTAAGGAATTGTTTATATCTGTTTTGACTGTAACTGAGCTTTATAAAGATAAAATTTAAATTATAAATGAGCCGCCAGTGAAAGGAAACTTGTTTACAGTCAGCGTTTCTGTTTGACTGCTTTTAAAACATTTCTTAATAATTTCTGATTATAAAAAGTAGCTAATAAATAGTATTTTTAATTTAATAGAAGCTCTTATTTTGGCAGCCTAGATGCTTTTATGCTGCAATCAATTAAATGTTTTCTGGCTAGGTTGGCAGTACATTTATTTAATTGTTCATTTACTTCAAAATTTTTTTTCAGTGTAGTGAATTTTTTTTCAGACTTAGTAAGTTTAAGTTTTAAACTGCTTGTTTGTCATGAAAGGAGAATGTGTAAAATACCAGTCTTGAGAGCAATGCTAATATTTTAAAGACTGTACACATAGATTTAATTACTTAATAATAATTAATATTTATACAGTTAATATATTTGAATTAATGATATTCACGTACTTTTTTTTATCTCTACTAGCGAAGTCAGAGATGAGTAAGAAGGCCAATGACAGGGATATGTGTGTTCTGCAAAGTTCTCCACCCTGCGCGGGAGCATTCCTGTATATACTTAATTGGTTTTTTTTGTTGCTGCTTCAGAAGGAGGCTTTTGGCTGTCCATCTGCTTGTCAGCTCTGCACAGGGAGACAAGTTAGCTGTTGTAATGCAGGGCTTTCGAGCATCCCTTGGAACTTACCAAAAACGACAGTTCTTGTGTACCTCAGTGGAAATAATATACCACGTGTCACGCCAAATGAACTAAGAGGGCTTCAGAAGCTTGCTGCACTCCACATGGATAACTCCAGTATTCTGTATGTACACCCAAAAGCTTTTGTGGAGCTCCCCAAACTGTGCTACTTGCATCTCAATAACAATAATATTAAACGCCTGGATCCAGGAGTCTTTGAAGGCCTTTCCAATCTTCATTATTTATACCTTCAGAATAATCAAATAGCTTTTCTTCCCAGAGGATTATTTAGTGATCTTTTTTCTATTAGATATTTATCGCTTCAAAGAAATCGTCTCAGTGTCCTTGGAAGTGGGACTTTCTTGGGTATGATGAGTCTCCAAACACTAAACCTAGCCAATAATAAGATTTCATGGATATCAGATTCAGCATTTCATCATCTTGAAAACCTTGCATATTTGTTTCTTGAAGGTAACAGCTTAAAACTTGTGCCATCGAATGCTATTGGAAAGCTCAAAAATCTAGAAAGACTTTCATTGTCTCACAATCCTATTGGATCAATACAGTCTTTTGCGTTTAGAGGACTTAATAAGCTTAGATATCTGTCTTTGAAAAATGTCAGGCTAAAATGTATTGCTGTAAATGGATTTTTTGGATTAAACAACCTTAGCCAGTTAATCTTAAGTTATAATGATTTAGAAAATATAAATTCCAGCACTTTTACTGTATTAAACAATTTAATGTATCTGCAACTAGACAGAAATAAAATAGCCAGTATTGGTGATGGTACCTTTGAAAAAATGGGACAGTCACTTAAAATACTCAGTTTAGCATTTAATAATATTACAGAGTTACAACCTGAAGTGCTCAAGCCTTTAGTATCTCTAACTCACCTGCAGGTAAATTCTAATCCTTGGAACTGCAGCTGCAAAATGCTTCGGTTACTTAATTGGCTGGCATTGTCTCCCGTTTCTGTAAGAATTCATTGTCAGAATCCACAGAGTATGCGTGGTAGACCTTTGCATTACATTAAGGGGACTCGGTTTTCAAACTGCATTAGTCCTACTGCCAGCCCAGAGACTGCTTGGAGTCTGGGATCTGTGGGTGTCCATCGCAGCGCTACCATGTTGCTGATGGCGTGGCAAAAAGGAAAGAGTCAGAAACTTGAGCAGTTTGTCAATGCAGAAACTAAATATGTTGCTTTCTGGGAAGGAACTACAGCTACATTAGCTACCCCTTTGCCCTATGAAGGAAATGCTGTTGAAATTCCATCACAGGCAACTACAGTATTATCAACATTGCCAGTGCAAATACCAACACAGATTATATCTACTAACAGAACTGTAGAAGAACAAGATTTACTTCCGAAAGATGTTGCTCCTGTGTCATTAAAAACATCCCTGATTTGTGCACAAAAGGTTGAAAAGCTGAATCAGGCTTTTGACATTTTATTAGCCTTTTTCATTCTGGCTTGTGCTGTAATCCTGTTCTTAACCTGTAAAATTATTCAGTTTAGGCAGAAACTAAAGTTGCTGGAAAATTCAGGGGAAAAGAGAATAGAATATTATGGCTTTTATCAGCCTGGCAGATATAACATAACTGACCCAGTGCAGTCTCTAACTCAGAAGTCAGTGGTACATTCAGAACTGGACCAAATTAGGCTGCTCAAACGAACAGCATCAGAAAGTCAGGCACAGGTAATACTGTTCGAACATTCATCATTGTAATTTATCTCAGTTTATTTGGTGTTAACTTTACTGTGATATGAAAGGTCAAGAAATCAAGAACTTGATTTTCTAAAAATACCTTCACTGATTAAAAGCAACTGCTTAATATGATTGTGGAAAATGGCACAATTTGAGTTCTGCAATTTTTTTTGCTTCCTGAATGTTTTGAAGTTTATTATTTTATTATGTGTCATTTAAATCTGACACAGATAAGTTTATTATCCTCTGTCCCTGTTTTTAGGAATCTTTCACCTAAAGGTGAAGTATACACGCAGTATAAAGTACATTTTTATTTAATTTAATTTGCAATACTTAGTATGTTCCTACAGAAATTCCATAGCTAACTTGAAGCTTGAAGCAAGCAAAACATCAGTTCTTAGTAGGATCACAAAGCTAAAGAGTCTTGGGGAATGAGAAAATAAACAGTGCTTTATGTATTTAATGCAGTTTTTACCCTGCCTCCTATTAATAAGCACAGTGGGAAAAAAAGTGAGCGTATTTACTGCTGGAATGTTCCAACTCTTGAGGAAGAGAACAATTTAAAACTAGACAAATTTTATTAATACCTATAACATATTTTAACATACAAAGTTGTGTATTCAGTCTGTGTAATAAATATATTAAAGTGACTTTTTTATTAGTGTGTATCTGTATTATTTTATTAAATACCCCAAACTGGAGTTAAGGGAACCCAAATTTCTGTTGAATTGAAAAATTGAACAAGTTTATTATGTCTAAGGTAATAGAGCTGGTTAATTACTTTCAATAAAAGATACTTTGTCATCTATGTAGTAATAGTTTGAGGGACTTTTTGGCTAGATAAGAGGTACAAATTGAAGAAATATGCTACACTGTAAATACATGATGCTAAATTAATTGCTAATTTATTTACAGTTTTGAAAGTGTCAGGTCAAAATACATGTTCCTAGTGAAGGCTTCATCTTAAAAATATGGATATTTTCCTATTTAATTTTCACTGATTTTAACACTTTATTTCTATTTCAAATATTGATGTTCTGATGTTGTCAGGTTATGTCTACTGTATGGTAGCTTTATTTTCAACTAATAGGACTTGCTTTTGTAGATACTGTTTGTCTTCTACAGGCCTATGCCTTAGAGAGTTTAACTATGTGGCTTTTAAGTTACACAGTTTACAGTTAAATCACTTCATTCAAGGAAAAGTGGGGAACAATGCTTTGATAGTCTCTCCTCCATGGTGTCGATAGAAATTGTGTAGAGGTATGTTACTGTTCTAGGCTCCAGCCTGGAGACTCTGGCATTTTAGATGAGCTTGAACTGCCCTCAGGGTTCTTCTTCTATGCCGCCTGCTTCCTGCTGGTGTAACTCATGTGCTTGGCTGGGTTGTGCAGCTTCCTGTTATTGTGTTTGTCCGTCTGCAGTTCTTTTCCAGGAGTGAAAATACAGAAAGTATATAAACCTTGACTGCACTGAGAGGGTGTGAATGTGCAGATGTGTCTTCACTGTTGCTTGTTATGTGTCTCAATTGAATGTAATGAAATACCAGTTTAGTATATTGTAATACTGTATTTTACTGTAATTTACTGTACCAGATCAAATTTACTGTAATAGATCAAATACTCATAAGGAACACTCAATTCAGCTACTTGAATGAAAGCTTAAACTATTTTGGGTTGCTTAAGTAGAAAAACTAATTTTCTACTTGTAGATCAGATGTTAAGTGTAATGGGCAAACGCTTTTAAGGAGGGAAAACACTGGCTCTAATTTATGTTGGTTTTTTTTTCAGGGACTAATCCACTTCAGTCCCTTCCTTTTTAATCCATTTTTGTTACGTTCTGTCTCTCCTATATAATTCCTTGTAATAAATTTGTTTTCATTTAGGAACAGCTGCACAACTGGTGAGTAGTAGGTTCACAGTTGCACAGTCATAAATTCAGCAGTTTTGTGTCCTATATTTCTAAATTTTCAATTTTACATAGATGTCTTCAGAAATAATGGACTTGAAATTTAGTGGAAACTAGTTAGGTTTTCCTTGCTAGAAATGCTTCTCTGCCTTGGTTACAGAGGAGTTTTGGGAGCGGGAAAAGGTTGAGACTGATCATACCTAATTCTCAAGGAAATCTGGCAGGGAGCAGTGCTGTTATTTTAGGCTCTGTTGTCCACAGCTGCTCTCTGCAGAAAATCACCAGAGATTGCCTCTGAAGGTGCATCCTTTTCACTGATGTGAAAAGGAGTTGTTTGCCAGATATGAGTCTCACCATCTGTAGCGATGGAGCATGAAAGGAAACCAGTGCTGTCACAGCTGTTTGTGCAAGCAGGGAGTTGGAGCGGTTGGAAGCCACTCTTTCTAGTGGAGATATCCTCTAAAATCCAGCTTGGCAACATAGGGATTAGACTAACAAGGAACTGAGAAATTCATTATGCAATTGTGAGGGAAATGCCTTTCTTTTGCAGTTAGTATCTTTTGTATTTAAATGTTCACACCGGGAAACAGATCCTTTCATGTACACATGTGGTTCATATGTCTGTTAAAATCATTAGAGAATACATTAGAAGACTTAGTTGAGCTATATTAGGTGAGTCTGCACCCATGGAACAAAATGGTGTTTCATGGAGATCATGTTAGTGAGTCATAGGGCTCCCCTGGAAATGTTGTCTTAGCTGCTACTTTATTGCTGTAGGAGCTCCCTAGTACTGTGCAGCTCCTAAGAGGGGGTGGTGGTGTACTAATCATTTATGTTGCTCACAGTATGTGCAAAGTAATCTCCATTTGTTCCTCTCTACTTCTTTCCTTAGCTAATGAGATAAGAATAAAGAATTAATTATCTTTCTCAAATCCATACACTAGTAAAGATATGAAATCAAACTGTTTATTGCTTCCCCTGGTGAATATAGAAAAGCAGAAATTATGTTGTTTTTCTTTTAATCTCTAAAAAAGTATGTTTTCCCATACAGATTCTTTTTTTCCTTTCTGAGGGAGATGCATAGGAGACATGGGGTCCATTTCATTTAAGCACCACTAAAATTTCATCATGACATATGTTTTAAGCTGATGATAAAGCTTTATCTACAGTATTTATCTGTGTAATTGAAAGAAAAATTGTGAATTTTTACAGAAAACCTCAGAATAATAAAAAAGTTGAATACAGAGCTAAGCATATTAGAAATTATAAACAGAATGAGAAAAAATGGATACTTTTTCCCAGAACAGATGTGGTCTGGTTTTTCCTTTGCAAAGCTTTTATCCTTTTATCTGAAAAGGTAAAATAAAAGGTTTGAGATTATTCAGGTAGACGCTGCCCGAAATGCTAAATTTTATTTTCATTATAGGCAAGGTGCATTATATTAACAGGCAGCATAAAATATCCTTTCTGTAATTAAAAAAATAATGTATTCATTGTATCTTTGAAACTGGGTTCTGGAGTGTTTTAGATCCTGATTGTGGGCCATTTATTTTTGCTGCATACCAAATGAGGTTTTGTCCTAATTACTTAGGAAGACTAGGTAGATATAAAACCAGTTATAACTTGATGATGATGTTTGTTTCATTGATGATCTCAATTATATGCAATTCAAGGGGGAAACTGCTTAAACGGTGCCATCCTTAAGGTATAAGATTTTAGTATGGACAGTATTAACTGCTCTGTTTTGAAATTTCATCTAAAAACAGTGTCTCTGTCTTTTCTGTAATCTACTCATATGACTTTTTAATGCATTTCTTGAAACAAGCAGGCTAATTTTAGTCTCTTTAAAAAGGTACTACACTGAGTTGCTTGGCTTGCTTTGTCATCTATGAAAATAAGGCCTGATGCATTTTATATTGCCACTGAACTTTAACTGAGGTTTGTTTTTTTAAGCATTAGTCTTTGCTATCTTTATTTTTCACCAGCATGTATCTTGTATTCTAAAAATAGTTCCATTGTTTAATGGTTCCATACCAGGTAAACATTTCAGTGAATCTTTGGTAGAAAGAAAATGCATGCCCCATTTAAAGGAAAAAAAGAAGGAAGGGGAGAAAAGAGAAGGTGTTATCTTTACTTATAGCTGCAGGCAAGTTACCTCATTTTGAAAGGTCTTGTACATTCTTTAGCTTTGTTTTCCTCAAAAAAGAAAAATTCTCATGAATCTTTACTAAAATAAGAAGTAAAGTATAATTTCTCATGTATGCCATTTCTTTACTTTCCAAGTAAAGAAATCAGTGATTTCGTTATGTACTTTCAAGGCCAGTTATCAGTGTTTTGGGTCTTCAACCACTATACTCTATTTCTTCTGGAACTTTTCATAGATCCTTGGAAACACAGTTTACTGAAATGGGCTTCCCTGTGTGCTCCTTCTGCCAATCTGCAAGCATGGAAAAAACTCATGGAGTTAATGACCACTATGCCTACAGTATTTATTTACACGTTGGATAATTAAAGTAACCTCCCTTGAATATGTTGACCATAATTAGCCCTGCAGCTGATCAAAAGGCTATGCCTTCATTGAGTTAAAAACCTTTTTTTTCTTCTCCCAGTATAAAATTTTCTTGGCAGCTAGGGATTCTTCATCAAGTTGGTTGAAGAAGGATTGAGAGTAGCCCTGCAGAGAAGGACTTGGGGGTAAAGGTTGATGAAAAACTCAACATGAGCAGGAAGGGTGTGGTCGCAGCACAGAAAGCCAACAAAATCCTGGCCTGCATCAAAAGCTGTGTGGCCAGCAGGTCAAGGGAGGTGATTCTCCCTCTACTCTGATCTCATGAGACCCCACCCAACCATAGGAAGGATATGGAACTGTTGGAGCAAGTCCAGAGCAGGGCCATGAAGTTGGTAAGAAAACTGGAGCAGCTTTACTACGAAGACGGGCTGAGAAAGTTGGGGCTGTTCAGCCTGGAGAAGAGAAGGTTGCATGGACACCTCATAGCAACCTTTCAGTATCTGAAGGAGGCCTACAGGGAAACCAGAGAGGGACTCTTATTAGGAACTGTACTAATAGAACAAAGGAGAATGGTTTCAAACTGAGAGTAGGTTTAGATTAGATGTTAGGAAGAAATTCTTTACTGTGAGGGTGGGGAGACACTGGCACAGGTTGCTCAGAGCAGTTGTGGATGCCCCATCCCTGGAATTGTTCAAGACCAGGTTGGATGGGGCTTTGAGCAACTTCGTCTAGTGGAAGGTGAGTTGGAACTAGATGATCTTTAAGGTCCCTTCCAACCCAAACCATTCTATGATT